CATGGTAGGTATCAGGTCTTAGAAAATGCCAAAAAACAATGGAGCCTACTACTTCCCTCTCTTCCCCATCACTCATAAAACAGATTTCCAGCTGCTATAGCCACATCCACTTCCTTGTCATTCTAATAAGGAAAGCAAGATACAGAAAAACAAGAAAAGTCAGACTGCTCTAGCCTGTTATCCTAATTTTTCTGGCCTATTATACAAATATGTACAATCAAATCAAGTTTATGCTCACATTTACTACATTCAAGGAGTCAAACACACAGTCCAACATTCCTTTCTTAGCTGTTTACTGACAATCAATTCCTTTAATGGCCAGCATATACAAATAACTGATAGGTAACTTTCTAAATAGATAGAGTGGATGCCTGAAAGGGGGAGTTGATTATGTAAGGAGAGAGAGAGAGTACAAAAAGAGAACACTAGAAATACCAAAGACAAACAGCTATTTTATAATTTTGCCAAAAGTGTACCCTTGAATATATTCAGACAAGTATTAGCAATAACCAGTACTGCATAAGCACCTATCTTAGTGGGAATACCACTTTTCAGAGGTATGATGCAATCCAACCTGGCATGGTTCGCAAAGATGTATTTTAATACAGTGGACCTCATTATAAAGGAGATCCTATCCCAGAATATTCCCTAGTCAATGATTACAATTACACAGCTTAACCAGGATTGACGATATGAGATCTTGAAAACAGAACGTAATAAAATTGTATTTGTAATGCAATTGTATGAAGCTCCCATCTACAGAAACACAGCACAAGAAGAACAGTTAATAAATATCACACCCTGGTATCACACATTTTAAAAATTAAATGTATTTAGTATACTGTATGGTCACATTATATCATATACTATATTGTACCATCTGGTCATAGAAAGTAACATCAAGGAAATATAAATGGTCAGAAGCAAATGTTTAATGCCAAAAGTATAAGCACTTTCATTTGATAAATATTTAATAAGCTCCCATCATTTACCAGAATATTCTATTCTGAGCATCTACAAAGTAATACAAATACAGGACATGATATTTGTTCACTTCCTAACACAATTTTAAAAACTAAAATCTACATCTTATGTTCAAAATATTTAACAGTAAAAAAATTAAAAACAACCTTATACCCCCCAAAATGATCAGTTAAATAAATCATAGTATATCTAATGATACGTAAAAAGTTTTGCTATAAGTTTTTAAAAATTAAAAAACTATATACAGTGTATTATGTAAGTATAAAAAAGAATAGAATACACTAAAATGTTTATAGTAATAATATCTTAGTGGTGAGAGTACAGATTTTTTTTTTTTTACTTTTTGTACTTATATTTTTCTTATTTTTCTCATAATGAACATGCTTTCCCCCTGTAATTAGAAAGTTTTTATTGCAGCTGAAATTTCCCTCTGAGAAATTAAAAAAAAAAAACAAACCTATATTTTACTGTCAGGTAAGATAAATCTTTAGAATAAAATGTGTCATTACACACAAGCACAATTTTTCATTTTTTTCCATGTACTTCACAATTTTAAGAAATTCCTTTAAGTATATATAAGGAAGACAGTTCGATTAAAAGACCACAGTGCATTTCAGTTTCCACTGAATTAATATCAACTTTAAATTTAAAATTATTTCCCAGAGAAATTTATTTTATCATCTGTAATACGGATATCTATATTTAAGAGATCCATTTTTTAATCATTTATCACTCCCCCACCAAATACATTTATTATTAGTTCATAAGAAAATGTACAGGAAAAACTACTATTCATCACTAAACATTAAAACCTGGGTGGAGGGGACACTGGGAAACACTTGACTTTCAACTAAATAAAATTCACTAAGAGTATCCTTATAGTTTCAGAAGATACCATATGCTTTCCAAATAGCGGCAATTTAAACAAATTCACCTAGCCTAGAGGTTCTCAAGCACTGGTACATGGGAATTGCTCAGGAAGTGTAGCAAATATAGAAGCCCATGGCCCTAGTTTTCACCTACTAAATCAGAATCTTCAGGGGGTAGAGTTCCAAACAATCTGGCCCTTTCAAATAAAATAGCAGGGTAGAGATTTTACTAAACAAAAGCCTTCTCTCTATAGAACTGTAAATTGTTCTAATAACTCTGAAACAAAGTTCTTAATATAAACAATGTTATAACAAGAGAATTACAATTTCATAACCTCTACCCATTAATTTATCCTTTCTACTCTGCAGCAGTCTTCAAACAAGATACAACTCAACAAAACCACACGTGTATCACAGAGTACATAAAGCCCAGAGGCACCTGTGCCTGGTAAGACAAAGGCATATCCGATTCCTGGAGAAAACAGACAGCAGATGTGACCCCTAGTATTTATCCATTAAAAACAATGTATCCTAAAAATAAATTTCCATGTCAACGAAACAAAGCTGTTTATAAATAAGAAGGAATGTGGAGGTGTGGGGAAGACAAGAGGAAGCTTCAGAAAGTTAAGTACCAAAAGCCAGGAAACAAGGCAAAACGAATTGTAACTGGAGACAAGTGAAACAGAATAAACTAGGAAAAGGAAGAAAAGCTTTATCCTTAGAATCCAAGAAGTCTGGGGAAATGAACAGATATTAGAGGAAACTGATTTGAGCAGAAATGCAAGCTGGAAAGTGATTTTTAAGAAATAAGAAAAAAATGAGAAATTTAGAATAGATCAAATGATGGTACAGAACACATTTTGGGAATATAGGTAAAGCTGGTATAAAAGGGTGGAAAACCATTATTATTGTGAACTGATACTAAACAAAGCAAGCATATTGGATGAATTTCCAAAGTAAAGATGATGAAGCAGGAAAAAGAGGACTGCATAGAGAGAAGAAAGAATCAGACATTATGAGAATTGGGAAACAAGATGTAAGTAGTAGGTAGGAAAGAGAACTTTGCGCAAAGTCAACAGAATAAGTCGCATTAACCTAATCAATAACTGTAAAGCACAGTTATACCATGTATTATCTTATTATTTGTAAAGCATAATAAAGTATGTTGTTTTATGCAATAAAATACCAAATGCTTATAATAAAGTTTATGTAATAAAAACAAAATGTAAATAAAATAATTTGATGAGGTGTTAAGAGGCTGAATAATGCAAAAATAGGCTGAGAGAAGCACAGACTAAAGGAAAGGAAAAAGTGAAAGGGAAAAAAAGACAAAAAGGAAGACAACACACAGAAATCAATCAAACCTATAATAAATAGGTAGGAATAAAAAGGTGTGAAAGCACAGTGGAAGACTAGCTAAAAAGTGCCACTAGTGCAGGGGTGAAAAGAGCCAAGTGAAACTTGATGGAATCTTGACAGCTTCAGGGTTCAGAAAGTAAGTAGCTCCAAAGTGTCCAGAAGGATTTGTGAAGATAACAATAGATAGCAACGTTAGGGAGCAGTGGAATAAAGTAGAGCCTCAAGAGGACTAGGGGTAAGAGAAGAGCAAAAATGGTCTTAAGTGGAAGCTGAGGTTAGAAGGCAGGCAGGTCCGACAACTGGAAAATGAGCGGGGCGGCATATAAGAATGGGATGGGGGTTACCACTCAACGACAGAACACTGCCAAACACTAGGAATGGGGGACTAGAGACCAGAAAGGAAAAGACATCGGAGACAGTGCGATTTGGAGTTGAAAAAGTAAAGGCTAAATCAAAACCATCCGCTGTGTAAAACAGGTGAAGAGAAATCCCCAAACAAGTAGAAAGGTGGGGGGTGGGGAGCACCGGCCTGAAAAGGCGGACACTCAGCGACAGTACAGAGGGAATGATGCGCTCCATCATCCCCATGCCCATGTAATAATTACACACGACAGTAACTCGGGCTGGGGTCTCCGCCAGGGTTAGTAACCTACATCCTCCACCCGGATGCCGCCGCCGCCACCCTCCCCCTGCCCCAATAACAAAAACATCTAAGAGATGCCGGGCTGGATACCTCAGCCAGTCGTGACCTTCTCGGACCAACCCTGAGTTTCGCCCCCTATTGATAGCCTCCGGCTCAACCACAGCTGCCCCAATCCCCACATCTGGGGTGGGGGCCAGGGAACCCCCCCCCACCCCGGCCATTGTGTGTGTTTACGTAGCTAGGAGCTGCATGACGGACAGGGACACGGGGGCGATGCCCACCTCCCACCCCGCGGAGCCGACCGGAGAAGGTGGCTGAGGGCACCAGAGCCCCTACAGCCGCCTCTTTCCCCCAAATAAACACCAGCCAGCAGAGCCCGGAGTCGGGAGGGGCGTCAGGGTGGCACCGGCACTTACCTCCTCCGGAATGGCAGGGTCCGCGGCTGAAGAGGCCGCGGCGCCGGCGCCGGCCTCGGGCTCCATGTCCCCGTTGAACAGAGCCTGGCCCTGCTCCGCGCCGCCGCCGCCGCCGCTTAGCGCCGCCATCTTATAACCGAGAGCCGGGGCCCGAGCGGCCGCTGCTGGGCGGGGAGG